AGGTAATCCATAAAAAAAAAGAAAAAAAAAAAAACGAAAACAAAAAAGAACAAGATGCCCCCACCCTAGAAATAAACATGCCTTCAACCCTAGCCACCGGATTGGTGGATAATCAGTCAAAAAGTGAACCTATCTTTGTCAGTGCAGACTGCAGAGCATCTACTTTATTCCCCAATTTCAAACACGTTTGATTTATCTTGTCCGTAGAAGACAAAGAAACAAACAGTACACTGTTTCTGTTTGGCAGGAGAAATGAATGGATAATATATTATCATCAAAGATTTTGTTCATCTTCTTCTTTTTTGCCGACACCACCGTCTCTTATTCCTTGAGTTTGCAGAATGTTTTTTAGAAAATAGGCAATGGAAGTTTGCGGAATGTAATTATAACTAGGGTTGAGGAACTAAAGTCATATGGAAGTGTGTGTTAATTAAACCATTTTTTATTAAAAAAGTTAACCCATTGTTTGAGATTTGCTAAATGTTATTAATGCGTCAGGTCGCACATGATCTCGCCTTTTTTTTTTTTTTTAAACAAAGACAATTATAAGGGAAAGAGAGAGAATGATTCGGATTTATGTGTTGAAAAAAAAATATAATTTGTAAATCAAGTATAAACATTTAATAAATTGATAAAATTTAAATTTTTGATTAATTACATTCAAATATTAAAATTTAAAAATAAATTATTAGAATCTAAAAATTGCTTCATAATCTCGCTTAAATCTACTATATTCGAGTTGTACGGAAAATTAAAATATCCACATGAGCGAGTGAAGAATAAGAGAGAAAATACCATAAGCCCACTTTCCTCATCATAATAGAATATAGGTACATAATTTATTTAGTTGTTCAATGTTATTAATGCTTCCTGTATCATCTCGCTTAAATCTACTATATTCGAATTGTAGGGCAAATCAAAAAATCAACATGAGCGAGTGAAGAATAACGGAGAAAATACCCGAAGCCCACTTTCCTCAGCATAATAGAATATAGGTACATAATTTATTTAGAGGTGTTTGGTTGGAAAAAATTTTCCATTTTATAAGATCTATTTGATTGAAACTTTCTAGGAAAAATGAATTTGAGAAAACTGATTAAAAAGTGATTGATTTTCACCCAAGAAAATAATTTCTTTGAGAAATATCCCATGTGAAAATGGTGATACATGAGGAGCACCTAATAAAAAGATGATAACTATTAAGCAACTATGACGTTTTTTTATATAATTAATTATTTTTATATTATAACCAATTATATTGTATCTAGATTTCCTGCTAGGAAATTTTATTTTCTTAAGTCAAACCAGCCACTTTTTGGTTGGCTTTATCATATTCCTGTTCTAGGAAAGGCATCAACTAGATATACTTACAAGATTATCTTTATATTTTTATACATTAATATTATACTCAAATAAGAGTAAAAGTAATATTTTAAATATTTATTTTTTTAACACAATTTATAGCTTGTAAAGTTTTTTTTCCATCTATTTTAAAAAATCAAAGTTTTCCTGTAATTTTATTGGGTCCACTTCACAATATAGCCTGTAAAGTTTTTTTTTCATCTATTTTAAAAAATCAAAGTTTTCCTGTAATTTTATTGGGTCCACTTCAGAATTTTTCTTATTAATTTTTTTATATTAATTTCTTATCAATTATAATAAAATTAATAACTTAACAAAATTTTAATAAAATTTTATTATAAAATTTAACAACTTTTTATACATTATTTTCTAACTTTTCATACAGTACTTTCCTAATTATTTTCTCAATACAAATTTTCTTAATAAAATGATCCTTTAAACAAATAGACCCTTATCATCGATTTTAGCTTAACTGTAATTTTGTAAAATTTTGTATGAATAAATCTCTTGTGGATATATATATAGAGCAATGAATTCACATAAATAATAGATTTAAAAAAAAAATTACTTTCTCTACCTCAAAATAAAGGTTCTTTTTTCACTTAAAATTTATCATAAAATAAATTAATTGTTGTTTTCTAATTTTTTAAGAAAACAATATATTTTTCCTAACCCTACCTTATCCTTTAAATTTAAGTATTCAACTTACCACCAAAAGTTTCCCTCTTCGATACTATATATATTTGGATTGAGAGGAATGGTGAGAAGGGGAAGGAAGAGATGTTTTCTCCTTCTATTCACATCCCTCCCCCCATTTGGATAAGTAATTAATTAAAAGAAAAAATAAAATAAAGGGCTTTCTTACTCTCCCCTCTTTTTTAATTATTTTGATAATTAAATAGAGAAAAAAAATTTTCTTCCCTTTCCTATATTTTCCTTAATCCAATCATACTATAAAGATAAATATAAATAAATATATAATTTTTTTCTTAATTTTTTTAAAAAAATTTAAATCCACAATTATTTTAAAAGAAAAAGAGTAAATTAACACGTTCAAGATAAAAAAATTGGTTAAATGTTAATTTTGGTATCTTAACTTAAAGTTTTGCACAATTTTCATCCTTCAACTTTTTTTTGCACTTTGTTGGTCCTTTAATTATAAAAAATGCACTTTTTTAATCCTTCATTCAATTAATCCGTTAAATCTATTTGAATCTGTATATTTTTAATCTCTTAACTTCTAACATATAGTATTTTTTGTCAAGTTGAGGGACGAAAAATATTCATATTTAGATAGACTTAATGGATTAATTTATGGAAGATTAAAAAAAGTACATTTTTCATAATTAATGGATAAAAAAAGTGAAAAAAAAATTGAGAGATAAAAATTGTGTAAAATCTTAATGTTGAGGGACCAAAATTGATATTTAACCAAAAAAAAATTTATAGTTTCTAGAAAAAGTCAAAAGAGCTTTTGTAGGATGTGATTATAGTCGCATACTACTATATCGTTAAAATTACACAAAATTTGACATTTTTTCTATAAATAGTTGGTTATATTATTTAAAAATATTAATATATAAACTAATTTTATTTTGTTTAATAATAAATATTAGATGTTTTATTATCTATTAATTAAAAATTACAATTATCAACTATTTTTAACTACCAAACAAAACAAATTACTATTTTTAAAATATAATATTTAAAAATATTTGTGTTAGTGACATTTTCATGCGTGGTGGTAACCTTCCAATGGTTTTAAGTATCTGATTTAATTATACAAATGGACAGAACACAAACAGACAATCGTAAGACAAGTACTGAGTTAGATAGGTACCATACACATACTGTATATATTATGAAAATTTAAGTACCTGATGTTCCCATAACCTCAACACATCTGTTACACAGCCATTGGTTTTTCGTTTTTATGGAGGTCATCAAGCTAGATATGGAGACATTCATGTCGCTTTTCTCTCTACTGCGGCCCCTGGTTGTGTTCTTTGTTTCCTTTTCTGTATTCCATGTGATGCTATGTCGATTTGTTGGAGCTCGGAAACTTTCCGGTAACGACTATGGTCATGGTCCTCCGACGTATCCCATCATCGGATGCTTGATCTCTTTCTACAAGAACAAAACCCGTCTGCTTGACTGGTATACAGAGCTGCTAGCGGAATCGGTTACTAACACGATTGTGGTGAGGCGGCTCGGGGCACGGAGAACAATCGTCACTGCAAATCCCGACAACGTTGAGTACATTCTCAAGACAAATTTCAGCAACTTCCCCAAAGGAAAACCGTTCACCGAAATCCTTGGTGACTTTTTGGGGTACGGAATATTCAATGTTGACGGGGAGCTCTGGCTTGCTCAGCGCAAGTTAGCGAGCCACGCCTTCAGCACCAACTCGCTGAGAGAATTCGTCGTGAACACTTTAGAGGAGGAAGTGGAAAACCACCTGGTACCGGTGCTGGAGCGGTCGGCAGAGACGGCGGTAGTGGTGGACTTGCAGGAGCTGTTACGAAGAGTGGCGTTTAATATGATATGTAAGGTCTCGTTAGGGATAGATCGCTGTAGTTTGGATCCCTCTTTACCGGTTTCGCCTTTGGATAGAGCGTTTGATATGGCATCGGAGATATGCGCCAGGCGCGGGGCTGCACCGTTGTTTTTGATCTGGAAGATTAAAAAATGGCTTGGAATTGGATCGGAGAGAAAACTCAAGGATGCTGTTCGAGAAGTTCATGCTTATGTTGCAGAATTAATCGAAGATAAGAAGAAAAAGATCGGAACAGGAGATAATGAAATGAGCAGTAACCAACAAGATCTGTTGTCGAGAATGATCGTTGCCGGTCATGAAGAAGAGGTGATAAGAGACATGATGATTAGCTTCATCTTGGCGGGGAGAGATACGACTTCCGCTGCAATGACATGGTTGTTCTGGTTGCTTTCCTGCCATCCAGAGATAGAGCGGGAGCTGTTAAAAGAAACAAGCGCCATGGCACCGGAAAAAATGTTAGATTTTGAATCATTGAAGAAACTGAAACTTTTGAAAGCTTGCATATGTGAATCCATGCGGCTTTACCCGCCTGTGGCCTGGGATTCCAAGCACGCCATGGAAGACGACACGTTGCCGGACGGAACACCAGTCACAGCGGGAGACAGAGTGACGTATTTTCCTTACGGCATGGGAAGAATGGAAGCGTTGTGGGGGAAGGACCGGTTCAAGTTCAAACCAAGCCGATGGTTTAACTACAATAGACTAGGAGGTTCGTTAAAGGAGGTATGTCCTTATAGCTTTCCCGTTTTCCAGGCCGGACCAAGGGTTTGCCTTGGCAAAGAAATGGCCTTTATTCAGATGAAATATTTGGTTGCCTCAATTCTCCGAAGGTTCGAAATCAGACCGGTCAGTTCAAACAGGCCGGTCTTCGTCCCACTCTTGACGGCTCACATGGCCGGCGGACTAAAAGTTCTGGTTCACAAGAGAGATGTATTAAGATAAAAAAAAAAAAAAAGAAAAAAAGAAGAGAGAAGTCAATGTCTCTGAATTTTATATTAGAAAATGTATGAGCAATGTAGCATGCCAACATGCCATCATGTTGCATATGTAAAATATTAAATAATAAGTCGAAAAAACAAATTACTTTGTCAAAAGTTAATAAGTGGCTTAAGCAAGGAGGGCGAATCTAAAATAATGATAGGGATCCTAGGAGGTATAGGTCCAAATTTACGTGGCATCTATTAAAGGCTACATCTTGTGCTTGTGCATGCATGAGGATAATTTCGAGTTTTAAAAGTGTTTGTTTAGGATCTAATTATCTGAATGCACGAACCAGGCTTTCGGGGGCAACTCAGTTTAAAGTGCTTGGGTTTCAATAGGTGATAGTTTTACTCTCAGTTATTACTTTAAAAAAAAAAAATTCTCTCATTCTCGAATTTCTCAATCTTTAAAAAAGAAAAAATAAATAATTATCTGAATGCACATGCGTGTTCTCGTCAACGATCATGTCACAAGTGCTCAAATTTTCCTACACGAGAAAAAAGTGTCATTTTCTTTGTTTCGCAGTTGCACCTTACAGCTAATGATTATAAATCATATTGTAAGGTACATCTTTAATTAAAAAATTATGTTCAAACCCACTTGTCTCAAATATAAATTTATTGAAAAAATATATATATTTATTGAAAAAATAGGTATTTTATGATGGTAAAATTAATTATAAAAATTTAAATTTTGGTTATAAATGTAATCTATAACCAAAAAAAAAAAGCTTTTTTATAACTAATTTTTCGTTTTAAAATACCTATTTTCTTATAATAATTTTTTTACTATACTACCATATATTATTGGCAAGAAAATCTTTTATTATTATTATTGGAAAAATTGTCTACAACTGTATCACACTGATTTGATCATAGTTAAAACATATTTCGGCTGTTTTGGAATTGGTGTAAAGTATTGCATTTGTAATTTTTTAAGTATTTTACTATAAAAAAATCATATGTTATTGTTTAATAATTATTTAAAATTTTGTTAATAAATTATTAATTAAAATTAATTTAATCATAATAATTTAACATTTTTGATAAATATCATGCAAAAAAATAATGTAAAAAAAAACTTCAAACACAACTGTAGTTTTCTGTTAAACCCGCCAACGGTTTTCTTTTCACTTTCTTTTTCCTTTTTTTCTTTTTTTTGACAAAAGGAAATTATTAGATTAAGTGTTATTATCTGTTATTTTGTAGGAAGATCAAATATTGAAGTTGAGTGCATTCCACTTGTTGCCCAATAAGTAACGTGGTCATCACTAAGTCTCATCACTAAGTCAAATGAGGGACTTCTTCTTTTCGCTTTCTTAAACAAAGTGAGAGATAAAAAGAAAGAGGGAGGGAAAAAAGGAAAAAGAAAAGGACACAAAAATATGACAGTGAAAGACTTGATGAGATTTCTAGGGTTAAAAACTATAGCACTGCTTTAGAATATAGTTGACGCCAGTCAAGTGATTTCTGGCTGATCTGCCATTGTAAAAAAGCTCAAGATATATGATAAGAAATTTTCTTGCTTTAGATGCTTTTTTTTTTTGTCAATTTTATGCTTAAGTTACATTTTCTTCGCTAATGTATATTTAGGTGAATGCAGATATTTTTGGGGCACGAGCAGCTGTAAGTTTTTTCATTAATATATGTTATATCATCTTCAGATGAAAGGACTAATTAAATATGTTATGTAATCGTGAATGAGTTTGCTCAAAAGTTCAAAATAAAGCTGATCTTGAAGAAAAGAATGTTGTTGTTTTTTTAAAGAAAAAATGACTCTTACAATTTTCAAACTAATTGAAAGCCAATCTTACCAAATGAGTATTCTAATCTTTTTTTTTTCTTTATATTAATTGCACAATAAAAGATAACCCTCTCTCATCCTTTATCTCATTTTATTCATATGTCATACAATTTGAACTCAATATCTCTTACTTTCAATGGAAAGAAATTACTACTGAATCACTTAAGTCATTGCATTATTCTAATCTCTTTAAACAGTGGGTAGCAAGTAGAAATCCAATATTTTAGTGTTTGAGTTTACTTGGTCATGAGTTTCTCATAATTCTTTCACGTTAAAAAAGAAAAAAAAAAAAAAAGTAGAAATCCAACATATTTTCTGAACAAAGTGGGCCAAAAGGCCCGATCAGTTTAAAATATTGGGCCAATGGGCCCAATTCTCTGTACACTACACGCCTTAAAGCCCAGTAATGAAAAATGTGGGCTATTGGGCCCAAATTTCTGATCAAAGTGGACCAAAAGCCCAATCCGTTTAAAATAGTGGGCCAATGGGGCCCAATTCCAGATATAATATGGGCCTTTATGCCCCAATTAATGAAAAAAGTGGGCTTCAGGGGCCCATTTTCTGAATAAAGTAGAGCAAAAGGCCCAATCCGTTTAAAATAGTGGGCCCATGGGCCCAATTTACTGTAAATATCGGCCTTTAAACCCAATATATGAAAAGATGTTGGCTTCTGGGCCCAATGTATGAACATGGTGTATTTGTCTACCCAATACTTGAAAATGTGGGCTTTAGGGTCCAGTTCATGGAACCCAATACGTGATAATGGTTGGGCTAAAGGCCTCACAACACGAGAAAACGTAGACCCAGCCGAATGTGCATCAAATGGCCCAATAGAAGAAAACTGGTCCCCCTTGGGCCTAATGGTGCAAATTGTGAACATAACACAGATGGCCCAATAATTAATTTCTTCGTTAGACTAAAAGACCAATTATACTGGATCTAACGGTCTCATAGTTTCATAGGAATGCCATCCAATTTCAATGGAAATAACGCCCAATTTTAATTTATTCGACCAAGTGGTTCCAGCTCACAGAAAATTTTTTCGCTCAATCCAAATACCAAGAACTGGTCTGTCTACTTCATTGGACTACAAAACAAATTATATGGGCCGAAAGGGTAAATCCAAAGTTTTTTTGCCTGACCTAGCTAATTAAAATGAAAATTCCACTTCTACAGCCTAAAACAGAAATCAGCACAAGGGTCCAAGTGGGTAACATTTACTAGACTATAAGCCTGAATAACCTGGGCCTAATGGCCCTATAGAAGTCGATATGCAGATTCTTCTATGAAAATGACGAACAAGAAACCCAGTTAGCCCAAATATTAAAAGCACGTAATTCTAAAACGAGACCATACAGAGCAATTTTTTAATAGTCCCGTAATATTTCAGGTTAAAGGCATTTTGAAATCATACAAATTAAGCGAACACGATGCAAACATAATGAGTAAAAAACATTGTTTTTTAAGAAAAAAGATCAGGTAAGCTTAAAACTATAGCATCTGTTTTGAAGGCCAAAAAAAAAAAGAGTTAAACCTACAGCAAATATCATAAATTAAATGCACGACATAAAAACATAATAGATAGTTTTCCATTCTCAGTTACATGTACAGGCCATTAAAGTAAAATCAAATGCCAAACAAAACCCACTCACCCACTTCAAGAAGATGGACTTACTGACCTAATGACCTCGCCTCTTAAGAAAGTTTTCTACAGCCTTCAAACTGTGGAACAACAAAAACTGTCAGATCCAAACGTATAATAGGTTTGGTGATTAAATAATTAGAAGATTTCAACATCATTTATACATCCATAAAGGAACTTGAGATTATTAACTGTAAGATATATGGTTTAAAAGGCAACAGGGAAGTCCCAGTTTCATAAATCAAAATCATTTGGACTATGAAAATTTGACAAAATCTAGCTAATACCATCCAAGAGAAAATAAACATCCAAAAGTTTACCTCGTCTCAAGCAAGCACATCTTTCTTTGAAGAGAAAGAGAATTAGATTAACAACACATGTTTATCATCAAGTGAGTTGAATTATTCAGATTCATCCAAAATGCATAGTCCATTAGAGAAATAGCATAATTTAATACAGCATGTGTGATCTGCACACCTGACAAAGAAGCTGTTTACACAGCCTTCTCAAGCTGACTTTTGCTTCAGCATTTTCCAACTTCATTGCATCAGCACACATTGATTTTTGCTGGGGCCTGCATTCAACAGAATCCTCATCATATATCCTCAACTGAAATATTACTACTTACATTATCTTTATCATTTTCAGAATGTTCATGAAATTTTAAAGCAAGACTATTCTCATTGCTATGCATATATAAACCCCAAGGACTGCTTGAAATGTATTTGAAAAGCCAAAACACATAGTTGAACAAGTTCGCACCGCTTCTCTGGGTCATCTTCAGAACACAAAAGTTTTCTCAACGCAATTATGAGCTTCAATAGTTTAGTATGACTTCTTCCAAGATTCTACTCCAAGAAAACCTCCAGATATTAAAAGCCATATTTTTGACCCCAACATTCTGCAGACACATCTTCAACTTTGTTTCCTATCATAAAATGCCATGGTTAATCCACAAATAATCACTGGCTAGCACGCAAATATTCAAAGAAGAAAGTCATATGTTAACACCTATCATATCATGAAGAGGCCTTAAGAATTTCAACAAAATTTCCAAACAATATTGTGCAAATGAAAATGTGAATTTCTTTGTCTTCATTATGAAAACGAGGTTACTTCTGCATATTACTCTAACTAATTACCTTCATCACGGAAATTCTGAACTTCAAATGTTCCCCCAGAGGTCCAATTCACTGTCTAGGCAAGGATTTGTCAGTGGTGATTCCTCGAGCTTTTTGAACTATTGAATTTTATACATACAGACATACAAGGATTGTCAGTGGTGATTCCTCAAGCTTTTTGAACTACTAAGTCTTATACATACAAATATATAAAATGTGAACATTCATTAGTAATCAAACTGCCTACGCATTAGGGGAGAAAAAAAAAAGCTGAGAAAATCGCAATGACTATTTGGAGTACCTCTAGTACTCCAAAATGAAAGAAAATTTTATTTTGCAGAGAAAAAAAATTTAACAATGCAAAGGCTACAGAGTGCAGAGTGATAGTGATGCAATTTACATCTCCTCAAGATCATGAAAAGAAAACAGATCCAGCAGACAATCAAATGAAAAGAATCAGTTAGCAAACAGATCCAGCAGACAATCAAATAAAGAAATGCATAAACAAGCTTCCCATCTCCTTTTTACATCTAATAGCAAGACAGAAAGCAAGATCATCCATCAAGAAAACCCTAACATAAGAAAAAGCCTAAATCTCCAACTTACTATTCACATATTTCTAAATTTTTTTAGGTTGCAACTTGTTCAATTGAATTCCGTGACAAAAATTCAGCATAAGAAAGAGATGAAAAACCCTAGACGATCGAATGAAAGAATGAGAGATCGAAAGAACAAACCTACAATACGCTGCTTGTTTTTGTACGTACCCTTCAATCCCTCGCCAATGTTTCCCTAGCCCAGCTCCTTCTTCCCAACCCTGCGACACCATCCAAACACTCCGCTAAGCCACATGTAAACGTAAGCACAAGCAAATATAAGTTCGTATACGCTACTTAGAGACGGTACCATTGGTTTCAAGAGGCGGACAGCAGTGCATTGGCGAGCGAATCTGACGTAGCAGAGAGGAGCTTCCGGCGCCGCCGTGGTTTATTCGCAGAGAGCCGACTTCTCGCGATCGAGTCGTGGAAGAGACGCATTGCATTGAAAGGAAAACGAAAAGTCTAAGGGGAATTGAGGAGATATCCAGTGCTTTGAAGCAGTTTTCCATTCAATGGACACGCGATTGTAGACAGTCGAGATTTATTTAAATATCTCATGGGCCTACATTAAATCTGGGGTCATGTACTAGCCCAAACAGAATAATTATACACCTGTACTCACCATTTTGTTTTTATGC